TCATTATTAATTCAATCTGCATTTCATATTCATGAAAATGTATACTCAGAATACTCTTTGCAAGACTCCAAAGCGTTCATAAAATGGGTTTGTCCTTTCAAGCATTCATGGCATGCAGTTGTACACCGCAGAACCTCCAGACGCACAGTATAGGGTAAATATAGGATACTCTAAAGTTACACTCACGTTCTAGGCTGAAGCCAATGGGCACTGGGGAGGTGTTTGCTGTTTAGAGAGCAAAGGACGTCAACGTGGGTTTGTTTTTCATGCCTTTACAGGGCATATTCAGTATGAAGAGAAGCAATGACATGAGGTCTGATGTGTTTGTGTGTGTGTACTTCAGAATGTGTGTCAAGAGATACAGTAGATCGCTGGCACAATGCCCTTTTGAATCTCAGCTTACTCTGTTGACATAGAAAACCAACGGTCGTGATATTAGACCACCTGGTGAGAAGCTGCCTGCGAGTCAACAGCACAAAGTCTACTGTAAATGTCTTTATGTTCAAGTTAGCAAAAAGTCTGTTTCAATCTCTGAGTCAAGTCACATTTATTTATATAGCTACTTTTTTCAAAAGAATCACTACTTTTTAAAAAAGAATCACTACTTTTTGAAAAAGAATTGCTACTTTTCAAAAAATCGCTACTTTTTAAAAAAGAATCGCTACTTTTCAAAAAAGAATCGTTACTTTTTTTGATAAAGAATCGCTACTTTTCAAAAAAGAATCGCTACTTTTCAAAAAAGAATCAGTACGTTTTTAAAAAAAGAATGGCTACTTTTTAAAAAAAGTTTTTTTTTAATTTGCAAGTTTTTTAATTTATTTTAAAAAAGGAAAGCATTTATTCAAAACGCAAAACATTATTCAAAAACAATCTACAATTTACAATCAAAAAATATTTTTCAAAAAGAAATGCTACATCTTTCGAAAAGAGTGTCTACATTTTTCAAAAAGAAATTTGTATATTTATTCAAAATACATTAATGCATATATTCGAAAAAATCAATATATGTATTTTATAAGAATTGATACATTTGCATTCCAGGCCATGAAAAGGAAAGCAATTTTCCTTTCTGCTTGAGTCAATACATGTCAACACCCTGTTCAGAACTGAGAGACACGAGCCCAGCACAGAATAAACACACGACACCCAGCCTGAGTCCTGGACGCACTGGGCTGTAACAGGACACACAGATGATCGTGCTGTGTTAGAAAGCCCAGTGTTAGCTCTTCCTGTTGAATGAATCATTGATAAAGCAGCTGTAACCCATCCTCATTGAGGGGGAGTGGAGGTATTGGGGGCAATGCAATAATTAGAAGATGTCCTCTCAACTAATTCACAGATTCAAAGCTCAGATTCCCTCCATTCAGGATTATTATTGTATACACAGTAGCCATGGCAGTGTGGGATTTCTTGATTTATGTCACCAGAGAGAAGTCTGTAGTTTTCATATGAAAGTCCAGTTATGACATCTTGAATAAATGATTTCATGTGACACTGAAGGCTGCTGAAAATTCAGCTGTGCCATCACATGAATAAAATACACTGAACAAAACTATAAACGCATCACTTTTGTTTTTTCCCCCATTTTTCATGAGCTGAACTCAACGATCTAAGACTTTATTCTCAAATATTGTTCACAAATATGTCTAAATGTGTGTTGCTGTGCGTTCACACCAGACGCGAATAGTGCGTCAAATTCGCGCCTACCGCGTAGTTATTACTCAAACACTTTGAATCCATTTGCACGTCAAGACCAACATTTTGAAGCGAAATTTACGCGCATCACGCACGTCAGAATCGAAACCCGTTGGCGGACATCTTTTATATGTTGATCGAGCATTCATCGAGAGAGTCACCGCATGTATTTGCTGGAGAGCAGAACAGTGGCGTGGGGATCATCGTCGCCGTATTTATCAACTTAGGGGTTTATCCGATAACCAGTCAGTAGTAGGCTATCTGAAAAAAGTCTTAAGATCTTTGAGTTCAAGATTTCACGATCTTCGTACGAATTTTACGAGGTGGCTAATTCGTAACAGTTCGTACGACCTCACTCGTACGAATTAGTACGTTTTTGCTAAATCGTACATATTTTACGAATTGGCCAATTCGTATGAATTCGTACGAATGGCCTACCCCTGACCCCGCCCCTAAACCTACCCATCACATGGGTTTGGACAAATCGTAGGAATTCGTACGAGTGAGATCGTATGAATTAGGGCCAATCCCAATTCTACCCCTTACCCCTTCCCTTTCCCATAGCCCTACCCCTTCGCCTTCCCCTTGACCCTTGAAACAGAGTGGCAATGCGTAGGGGTGAAAATATTCCCCTAAGAAATGGGACACCACTACGCCTCCGTTAAACGTCATTATAAGTCGTCGCTAGCGCCTACGTCACAGGAGATGCGCCGATGTTTATCACAACTTCCAAGATCCCGTCGACAGTTGCAGTTCAGTCGCGTGGGTTACAGCTATTTTCTTGCATCTTGTGAAGTTCGCAGGAAACAACGGAGACGACGAAAATATGTTGCGGGACTATCGTTAGCAAACTACAGTAATTTTAGCGATTTTTTTTTTTTTTTTTTACAAACGTTTCTGTGAAGAAACGGACCGTAAATATGAACACAATATTGAATGTAACATAAAGCAAATCATTATTTGTCGTTATAATACTTATTAAAGCCACAAATACTTACATTTATGGGTCTCCTTTGTCGCTTGGGCAGCCAGCCTGGGTTAGCAGTGACACTTCTCATACCCCTTCGTTTGAAGTGTGCTCCTGAAAAATCTTCGTTTGAAGGGCTATCTGGCCCTTCACCCTAGCCCTCCCCCTCCAACCAAAAGAGAATTGGGACAGCCCTACCCCTTCACGTGGACGCGCAAAACGGAGGAGAAGGGGAAAGTGAAGGGGTAAGGGGTAGAATTGGGATTGGCCCTTAGTACGAATTAGCCACTTTTTAATCACTCGTACGAATTCGTACGAATTGTTCGTGAGATAGCGTAGGTTCAGCTCATGAAAAATGGGGGCAAAAATAATCCATCCACCTCACAGCATTTATAATTTTGTTCAGTGTACATAAAATATATTCAAATAGAAAATATCTATTTTAAATTGTAATAATATCTCAGAATATGACTGTTTTACTGTCTTTTTTATTAAATAAATTCAGACTTTGACTTCTTTAAGAAACATGAAAAGAAATTCTACCCCAAACCTAATTTAATAAGTTATATTTTATCATTTATTAAAACTGATATTTTTATGTTTTGTCAGTTAACCAAAACAATTTGTTTTAATGTGCACTCTAAAAAATGAGAGTAAATGTAAAATATTGTTTAAATGTAATATCTGTTAAAGAAAATCTGTAAAAACGCTAGTGATTCAGTTCCCGTACTAGGTAGGCTACAGGGAACATTTTCCTATCCAGGGAAATATCTGTAACCAGACGTTTAATAAAACAAAAAATATTGTTAAAACTTTATCGAAATCACTCCATTTGGACACTTCATTTCAAGAACAAGTAATACCATCCTCTAGACAGAATGAAGCATCAGTCAACACATACAGCTTTCAGCAGAGGTGCTACTCGCTTTGCAATCAACATTTACATTCACACTTCCAGCTGTGTTTCCTGTCCAGATGTGCCACACCTCTGCAGCAAGAACTTGAGCCCATTTCATTTGTGAAATATTAACAGTGCTGTTTCCTAGTCTTAAAAAAAAAAAAAACTAAAAGTATATTTTCACTGCTCAAAATAGACCCATCCCCATCTCCTCTGGGCATGAATTGTTTTCTCATTACACCAAACACCTTGGGTTAGATGCTCAGTTAAGACAAAAGTAACTGCAGTACAGAAACACTCAGGAATCAAACATTGAAGTATCCGCGAAAGTTATCACATCTGAAACATTATCCTACTACAGACATGGAGATTATCTGCTATCTCAGACATCAGCCCTGAATGCAAAGTTGAGGATGACTGCCCTCACTAACCTTTACAGTTGCAAATGAAAACACAGTGTGAGATAACATGTCTTTGCAGGCCCGCTGTGCAGTGAAACTGGGTTCACACACACACAAAAATGTTAAAAAAAAAAAAAATAATAATAAATGATGACAATACTCGCAGAGATGATAAAGTGTGGATTATTGACAGTCCTTGAGAGGGGAAACAGTCCCAGGAAAAAAAGACCAAATCTATATAACAAAGAAAAGAAAAATGGCAAACAAAAATTGCACAAAAAACAACATAGACAAGATATATATATAGATAAGAGAAACTGATCTATATATACACGCAAACTTCGTCAGAGGTAAAGAATTGCTCATGGCACCACAATTGCACGCTTGCTCGCCATACATTAGTTTGGATGAAAACTAAATCATGAAAACTGTGAATGAAAACAAATCACATTGGACTTTAAGCATGCTTGGCATTCAGTGACACAAAGATAAATGTGATAACGTCTCTCAGAGGATCTTTTGTCCCAGCTGATCCACGGCTGATCAATTCGACCCTGTTGAACTATGTTACTGCTAGTTCATGTATTCTGAATGGTTTCTAGACAGAGACTGTAATAACTCACCAGGGGGTATGGCTGCCCAGAAAGCATGGCCTGAGAATATTTTGTGTTCAGATATCTCTTATTTATAATTTACAGTTAAATTAGCCTACTGTATGCATTGAAATATTTTACTCAAGATTTTTTTAAATATATAATGTGATCATATGCCTATTAGTTATTATTTTAAATAAAACAAATTATGTTTGATGTTTTTCCAGCTTATATATATAATATATAATATAATATAGGCCTATATATATTTGTTTGCTGCACCAGATGTGTTTAATAACTTCGCTTTCGATTGAGCACTTACAGAAGTGATTCGCGCAATGACGACCTGTGAAGGGCTTATCTATGAATAATGCACAACAGTGCTGTCCGAAATCTCTCGCGCATGCGTAGAGTTCTCTACTGTTCTGCACACAGGTGCGCGCATTCACCTGTCAACGGTGCACAGACTGAACACATGTGCGCGAGCGCTTCATGCGAATGACACATTCAAACACACGGTGAGTTTAGAACGTTTCCTTTATTTGAACTCATTGCCTATATAAAGATGTTTACAGATTATATTGCTCGAGTTAATTGGTCGGTTTGATTTTTCTTTGATTTGGCGCATTTTTGACACGCTAGGCTAAAACGATGCCATGCAAATTAATGTTCTGTGACGATGTTTAATTTAAATTTACACAGCAGCGACTTACAATTAGGCTTTCAGCACTTAACAGATTAAATTAACAGATACACAAATTAATAAAATATTATATTTAAAAGCTTTAAACATTACTTCTAAGCGTATAGGAGATTAATGGTTCTCCAATGCCTTGCATGGAACATGATAACTTTAACCCTCAATCGGGTCATGGGGTCTATATGACCCAAATCAACTTTTACTTGATAAAAAAAGGTTCCCTTCATCTCAGTGGAATAAGATTTTGTGACTTTTCATACATTATCTATCTACACACACACACACACACACACACACACACACAAAAAAGGGGGCTTGATTGGGTTGTTCTGAAGGTATGTAAAAAAAAAAAAAACGTTTACACTTCTGGTCTTCGGGGTCACATTGAACTGAATGGAAAATGTGAAAAAAAAAAACTAAATATATTTTCTACGTGTCCAAAAAAAAAAAAAAAAAAAATCCGGTATAAATCTGAAAATTTTTACGCAGACATGAAGGTCTGTGCATAAATGCAATGTATCATACAAAAATAATATTTCAGTGTAGTTGAGGAATTGTGTGGTATATGGATACAAAAGTACTTTATATCTCCAAAAAACACAGTATTAATGAATAGATGAGAAGTAAACAAAAAAAAAGATATATTATTTTTATGATTACAAATATATATTTTTGAACAATTACTCAATCAATTGTTTGGGTATAGACCCCGAAGCCGAGAAGTGTAAACAGGAAACGAAGACCACTTGAAGGTTAATAAATACCATTAAAAAATATTAAGTAAAAATTAACAGAATGCACATTCAAATTGTGAAATGAAATGATTTTGCTATCTATATTTTTCCATAGGCTATGTATGTGACGGGGGCTATTTTACGGGGGCAGTGGATATAAATAAATGATTTAATTGATTAATACACATTTCATTTGCTCTATTTTACATTTTCACTTCAACTATTTCATGCAGTATGATGTTAAGGCAAGACATTCCACAGCACATTCTGTTCTATTTTCCAGGGAAAAGGTGGCTAATTGGTTAACACATGGAGCTAATTGGATCCACCCAGATGGCCACTTATGCTCGGCCCAAAACCAGCCACTTCCTGCCGGCTATATCCACCACAGCATCCAGTTATAGGAGCCATCAGCCAGCCCTTACCATCAATCAGAATTCAAACATGCCCTGGAGGACTAATTCTTACTTTAGAAGTGGCAGCGCAATCCCGACCGTATCAGCACTTCAAAGAGAAAACCTGGACTTAGTCCGGGCCAAAACCATGTTCTACCCCTCCAACAGGACGGCTCTCAGTTCACGATACATGCCTGAGGACTGGTACAAGTCGAACCAGAGTAACTACAGGGAGTCAGAGTCGTCCCGGAACAGTGCCGAAAGGCTTCGGAGAGACACGATGCGACTGATCCAGGATAAGGACCAGCTGACTCGCAGGACTCAGGACTCCACCAGCAAGAACATTGGAGAAAGACTGAACGACATCAGCTTCTGGAGGTCTGAGCTCAATCATGAGATAGACAACATGGTGACAGAGATATCAGTACTGACAGATGTGAAAAGAAGGCTGGAAAGAGCTCTAGCTGAGACAGAAGGGCCACTGCAGGTGATATATTTATATATACATATAGTTTACTACATTCATTTAGTGCGATTAATCTGCAAAAGCATGCAAGACAATGGTAATAATTTATAAACAAACACATTTACACATTTCGCCTCTCGAAAAATAGCTAAAGGCCATTTCTTGTTTTCACAATTGTAACAAATCTTTCATCAGTGCTTGGAAAGCGGCACGGCACAGCTCCAGTGGTCTGTAGTCAACCAAATTTGGGTCATGGTGATAGCTGAAGACCCAGTAACTAGAAAAGCCCACAGTAGAGTTTCAGGTGACCCATTGTTAGAAACCACTTGGTAACAGAACCTATATGGGTGTAAGATATACACACTCAATCACACTGAGCACTAGCTCTACAATGACCTCAATGTGTTCCACCTCTGTCTTTACAGAGTTACCCATCTGAGTCACAGTAAGAGACTGTTTCCATAGAGACCACACCAAAACATGGTGACTACTAGTGCTGTGCTGGATGAGTTCCAAATTAGTGTAGAGTCACTGCCGGCACCTCGCAGGACTGACCACGAGAATGAACACAAGATGTTTCCATAGTGACGTGATTGCTTACTAGAGCTTCCGTTGTCACACTTTGAGTGAGCAGGTGTATTACGTAATATCCTGTCATTATTAAAATGTGTTATTTGGCGCTGTTATATGTAGTTGTGAACTCTGTAAAAAAAAAAAAACTATATATATATGAATTACTTTCTTTCCTCTCCAGGTGTCTCAGGAATGTTTGTTCCACAGGGAGAAACGGATGTCCATTGATCTGGTTCATGATGATGTGGAGAAAGATTTGATTAAGGTGAGGTCACCTGAGCCTTTATATAAACCAAAAAACAAGCGCAAATATCGGTAATGAATCAAGGATTTCGAGGAGCTTTCTTAAAGGGATAGTTCACCCAAAAATGAAAATTCTGTAAGTATTTACTCACCCTCATGTTGTACCAACCCCGTAAGACCTTCATTCCTCTTCAGAACAGAATGCAAATATTTTTGATTAAATCTGAGAGCTGGATCACTCCCCCATACTAGTTCATAGGCTTCTTGAGGGATTGAAACTTGCCGACCTCAAAAAGTTATTAAAGACATCGTTAAAATAGTCCAAGTGACTACAGTGGCAAAACCAAGTTTATTAAACGACGAGAATACTTTGTGCGCAAAAAAATAAAATAAAAATTTTACCAATGTCTTTAATAACTTTTCGAGGCCGGCAAGTTTCAATCCCTCAAGAAGCCTATGGACTAGTATGGAGGAGTGATCCAGCTCTCAGATTTTATCAAAAATATCTTAATTCGTGTTCCGAAGATGAACGAAGGTCTTTACAACATGAGGGTGAATAATTACTGACAGAATTTTCATTTTTTGGTGAACTGTCCCTTTAAGCAATGTGTTTTCCATTCGATTACGTCAAATGTAATACATGGCTCTCTGGAATATGCGATTCTGTTTGGTCAATGGACTCTTTTCACAGACTGTGATGCGACCAGTTTTTTTTTTTTTTAATTAACTATTTCCTTGCCAGCTTTCTTTTCTTTCTTCCTTGTAATTTCTATTTGCTAAATAAAATTTTGCCTTTTGCGCAGGAAGTGGAGGTGATTAAGTCATGTCAGGAGAGAATGAGGCGACATTTAGAGCGAGCTATTGCTCAACTAGCGTGAGTCTCTAAATAACCATACAATTTCGTTTTCAATTTTAAATTCCTACTTACAGTTTGAAAAATGATCATGGCGTCTTTGAAACACAATGCATGTGGTTATACTGATTAATATCCTCAGGTCGAATCGTGCAGCACAGCACGAGCTGGAGAGAGATTTGAGTGACAAGGTAACCGCTCAGAGAATCGACGACAGGTGTCACCATCTCAGGAACACCTCTGATGGAATCAGCTACTATAGAGGAATCGATCGCCTGGACCCATCGTAAGCTTTATGTTATTCAAAAAACAACAATTAAGTCCAATAAATGATGAGTCAATATTACTTTCTTCATGGTCTCAACAGTATCAGTCTTCCAGAATCCTGGTCGAAGTTCACCGACGACAACATCCTGCATTCTCAGAGCCAACGCGCCGCATCTCACAAACTCCGTGATGAGATTGAGATTCTGCTCAATGCCACTTCAAACGAGATGTGGAACCAGTTTAACGCCGTAAACGTGTCATTCACCAACCGTATCTCTGAGACGGCAGACACCAAGAACAATCTGCAAACTCACCTGGCCAAGGTAACCACAGCTCATTTTGGTCCAAGTTCTAGTCAAATCAAGTGAAAACTGGTTTATAAATCAGGTCTTTAGCAGTTTGATTTTATTTGACCTTATCTCAAAAGCAATGCATTATAGTAAATATAAGTAGGAGTTACTGGAAGCTGGAATAACAGTAGTATTCTTCTCATAGTAGTATTTTTTGAACTACTACTTAATAATACTACTTCCTCCTTCCTTACTTCACTTTGACTGGAGAGGGCCCAAAGTAAACCCCCTTTTCCTTGCTTGCTTTTGTATGCTGTAAAGATGTAGACGGGAAGCTCTGGAGTCTATTGTAGATGGGGTTAATGAAGGACATGAAGAAGCTCTGTCAGATGTCCATAATGTTTAAGCCCTTGATGGCTATAATCAGAGGTATGAGGTAACCAATAAACAGCTAACATCATTAATGATGGTGATTGGTCAAAATGAGATTACTTCAAAATGTCTTCGTGAGGGAGTGTGTAAGATGTCTCTGTAACTAGACACTTGATCCTGAATATTTTTTATGACCATTATGTATTTATGTGGATAACAGGGGCCTACTGTAACGAGGAGAACTATAACGTCCTTTCAGATACATCACATCAGTCAGTATAAAGACATTTTGAAGTTAATTTAACATTGCTTATAACTTTCTAATCTGCCATGCTTAAATGTTAATTTACTTACAATAATACAATATAGCTTGGCAAACCAAATAATTAATAAGCAAGGTAATTTGTAGAATTACATTTTCTGTAAAGAACAAATTAAATAAAGTTTTGTGGCATTTTGAATTCTTTTAAGTAATTTACTTATTAAATTGAAAAAAATAAATAAAAAGCCAATTTTGTCCTGCTTACCATGAGGTTAAATTTCTGCTCTCTCCGCTTTGTCCTGGGATGGCTGTGTGGCTGGGTGAGAACAGGAAATCTGCCCAGAAGAGAGCAATTCTATCCTAATTTCAGATTAAAGTGCTTTAGACTGTCAATTATGATATACAGTAGAAGTAAGTGTACCTGACTGGACCGGTTTTACCTTTGAGAAGGGTCAAGAAGTCAGACACAGAGAATAAGTGACTGTCACTTATTCAATCAACTCTCGTTCTCTCTCTTGCTTTCTTGTTTCCACATTCAGACACTTCAGGAAATCTTCCAGACTGAGATGCTGATTGAAGCTTTAAAAAAGGCAATCCGAGACAAAGAGAACCCACTTAAAGTGGCCCAAACCCGCCTGGAAGAGAGGACTCGCAGACCCAACGTCGAACTCTGCAGAGACAACCCTCACCATAGGTAACCTATTTAATCATTAAAAACAAGCAAACAATATTTGTGTTATGCGTCATGAAAAGGTCTCATACACAGACAACTTATGTTTTGTAAAAAAGCTCTGTTCTCCTCGTCTTTTCTTTGGTCTCAGGTTGATTACAGAAGTGAGGGAGATTGAAGACACCATTCATAAGCTGAAACAGAGATTGATGGAGGCCGAGAACACTCTGCAGACCCTGGTGAAGACGAAAGTGTCTCTGGAGCATGACCTGTCAATCAAGGCCAACTCTCTGTTCCTGGATCAGGAAAAATGCATGAGCATGAGGAAGAGCTTTCCCAGCACTCCTCGTCTAGTCGGATACACCTAGATCCTCCAGAACCTTCTCTAGAAGCTGCTTAACCACCTGCTGAATCTAGATCAGAATGTTGGTGTTTAAAACATAAACGGCAAGATTAGTGTCAGAACAGGTTGACAGCTTATACTTAGTCCTCTTAATTAAGTGGATTGATATCTTATACCTCACTATTATTGCTTCACTTACCATTAGGTTAAACACTCTATAATGAGTAGGGGCTTTCGCACTGGGGGGATAAACTGATTTGAGTAGCAAATGCACCTTTAATCAGATTCATACTGATCCTTGTTAGTCTTATTTAGAAAACATTTAAAAAACAATGCAAAAGCAAGTCCATCAGTTATGTGAGCTCCAGACATCTGTTGAACTGTGAGGTCTGATTTCTACACCAGTGTGACATGATTCTAACAGTTTGCAGACAGTGGACACGACACCTTGCTTTTGTTTGTTCAGTTCAGAGGTCCACTTGAGGGCTGTCTTTTACTACACACTTCCCTGAGTTTACCAAAGCACAGAGGTGTAGTTCTCATGTTCTTTTGAAGTACAAACATACACTTTAGAAACAGATGTCACAGGCAAGCAGACTCATTGTTAAATATACACACAGCATCTGGGTTTATTGATTCAGAGGGTGAGCGTGTTTTCTCTTGTGTAATGTGTACACAACACATTAGTGTTCTGCTCAAAGACACTTCAAACTCTTTACATATAAATCAAAGTCTGCTCTGTTGTCTGAATGTTTTACATTACACAATGAACTTGACATTAACAGGTTCATTCCTAAGAACATGTGTCATGCACTTTTTGACAACATCTAAATATAAACACATGTTATTTTAGTTACAGTTCAGTTGAGTATCAATTTGTTCTCTGATCTTTGTCCTAAAATTCCTAAAAAATAAACACAAATTTGCTTATAAAGATTCATTAAATTCATCAAACGTGCCAGTAAAGACACTTCCAGTGTTACGCTCTAAAAATGTGGGTTGTTTCAACCCAAATTTGGGTAAAATGTGGACAAACCCAAATGTTGGGTTAAAAATGTAATTTATAAAAAAAAAAATCACAGTTGAAAGTGAAAGTTGAAGTTGGGTTAAAATTTTAACCCAACATTTGGGTTTGTCCATATTTTACCCAAATTTGGGTTGAAACAACCAAGCATTGTTTAGAGTGTATGAAACTTTTCTTTAAAAAAAAGAAACGTTCTAATCAAAGAATCCTGAAAAAATATATATCTTGGTTTCCACAAAAATATGAAGCAGAACTGCTTATTTGCTTTAAAATAAATGTGACTTGACTTGACTTACTAAAGCTATATATTGTGAGTATATTGTTACCACAAATTAAGAATTTGTTCTCGTTTTAGTAAATTGTTGCCATGTTGAACTTATTTGTTAGCTTGTTTTGATCTTGATTGAACTAAAACAAGGGATAAAATGAGTATAACATGGCCATGATTTAGTAAATCAAGGGAAATGATTACATTGTGCACATTTTACTTTACAAGGGATATAATTAGTCAAATGTGCTGATGTATTAGGAAGTCAACTAATTGTTTATACATTTTTCTATAGTTTCAACATTGAAAATATTAATAATAAAAAACATTTCTTTAGCACCAAATTAGAATATCAAAATGCTTTGCCATTACATTTAAACTGACATCAACAGCCTCTCTTGAGCAACCCCATGCAAATGCCTTGCTTTGAAACACTATTTTGACAGCCATGGTTGCTCATCATGGGTTCTGAACCCTCAATCTTCTGGTTCCCAAATAACACCCAACACCACATCTCGTCAGCTTTCCCGTTCAGTGACTGTTCTCTTATCTGCTGCTAAAGAATGCAATGCACTAACTAAATATTCCAATCCTCTCTCTTCTTTTCAGGTTTCTTATCATGGCTGTGAGAGCCTTCCTAACTATGTCGAGTACACAGTGGTCCTCAGAGTCTCAAATGTTTGCTACAATCATTAGACAGAAGCAATATTGTTTTCCAGACGTCTGAATATGAGCTGCATTTCAGGGCCTGATCCAAACAACCAACCTTGACCTTTTAAACATCGCAGCAGGAATGTGTTGCTTAAGACAAATATGACTCTATTTGATCGGATGTTGACATAAGAGGGAGATTCTGGAGACCTTAGAATGCGTTACTTACTGCTAAATGGTTTGGCGAATTTTTCATAGATAAAATTATTTGCTTTTCAGGATTTATGGAACTTCATGCAGAGTTATGAGAAGGTTGTAAAACCTGCTGGCTAGTTTTCATTGTCCGTTTGGCTTCATTCGTAACCTTACCCTCACATCTGAAGTGTGGTTCTCATGGTTTCCAGCAAAGAAAACATACAGATAAAACATTAGAGTGGGCCCTGCCAGCCCAGGAGAGTCATCCGGTGGCCAGCTGTGCCTGATATTTAAGTTGGATCCCACGGTTCTCTTCTCATTGAGTTTTACACACAGACCACCACCACTTTAGATCATGATATCTGCCAACAGTACAGTCTAGCTGTATTCATGTATCAGTTAGAATCTCAGTGTGGTCCAAACACAGCTGGACACTGACGAAAAGGTGCAAACGTTCGCTTTGCATAGAGTTTACGATCTTGACAGTCTCCCAGGTCAATAAAAATGCCACAGAAGTGTGTTTGCGACTCCATGACTCTGGTTCTGATTCAAATTTCACTAAACGATTCTGATACCATTATAATTCTTTTAGCACTTTTGAGGGAACAAATGACTGATTTGCAAGTCTTTTGGACTTTTTAAAAGAATTGGCTCATAAGAATTGTTCATGAATCACCATAATGATAAGGTGTCGATTTATACAAGTTAGTTATGGTCCTCGAAGTGGATTAGCTGAGTGACGTTCCAATATGGCTGATGTCCAACAGCACTGGGACTTTTCTACAAGTTATATTGTGACATCTGAAATCACACACTTGCCTATAGTAGGCTAAAATCAGCATGTAAAAAAAGAAGTATGTCCGAATATACTTATAAAAAAGTAGGCAAAAAGTACCCGGATGACCTGAAGATTCTTAAGTTTGCATACGATTGATACTTTACAATCCCATGATGCCATGGCAGAGGATTTGTGAAGGACAGTGAAGCGACGTAACTGACACTGGTAGGTCACATGATAATGACAATATGGCAAATAAATGTAGCATGTCTGGATTACATTCATACCACACACATTCATACTATACGCAATTATATAGAACATACTTGTCATAATTGTCGCGATTATATAGAACATACTTACGAATAGTCATTTATTAAGTACTCATGTGATATCGGACGCAGCATCCAGATCCAGGAACAAAAGTGATAATCCATTAATGCAATCATTCACTCAGGCATTTAAGCGATTCGTTCAAAAACACTGATTCAATCAGGAACGAAACAGACTTGAGTCGTTGAGACATTCAATCAACCTGTGTTGCTCTGAGACACGTCACAGTTCGGCGGTTTTTGAGAACTATTTGAGTTGGTGAAACAAAAATAGATAAAGAAACTTTCAGCTTTTTTTGTTTTCGGCTAGCAAAGTTTTAGTTTTGTGCTGTAGAGTCAATATATTGTCATACTCTCTTTTACACTCTTCTTCTTACAGACTACATACCTCAAGACCGAACTTTAGCTGGGGACGTGCATGCTTTTTTCTCCTCAACAAAACATATGATTCAGTGGACACAAAAATAACTGGCCTTTGCCCTCTCCTCTTAACCCTGTATATCACTATAGTGATGGAAACACTGTAATTTTGTTGTGTTCTTTTCAAAACCACCATTAAAACGATTTGGTTGTATCAATAAAGAAACGATTAAATGATATCAATACTTCAATCAGTAATGTAGCAACTGTAGTTTTGAGTAGAAAATATTTCTGACCGTGAGGACAAGGAAGATGTTTCCATTCCCAATTATCACTCCCCTGACATATCTATCCTCCCTTCTCTCCATTCCAGAAAGCAATCCAGACTCACCCACTCAATCTGAAACAGCCTCTGCCATTGTGTATTTCACATTACCGAGGCCTTAAAATCTCTCAGCATTACATAATTAGAGTTACTGACAGAGGAGAGGCTCTCTGGTTCCACCTTCTCTCTTTTCACTCTTCTTCTTTACATCTATGTCAAGACCACATACCTCAAGCCCGAACTTTAGCTGGGGACGGGCATGCTTTTCTCTCCTCAACAAAACATATGATTCAGTGGACACAAAAATAACTGGCCTTTGCCCTCTCCTCTTAACCCTGTCCTCAGAGAATGTACTCGGGAATCTTCACAGTCTTGAAATATTCAGCCTTTATTTTTAACATCCAACCAGCAAGCCAACTCTTCTCATTAGTCCTCTCATTAGATCTCCACATCTCTCTGGAGAGACGTACGATTACACAGGGATTACAGTATCCTCTTTCATATCAATATTTTATCATTGATGATTTGGTGTTGCTGAGAAAACTGCAAAAACATAATATGCCAATTTTATTTAAAGAGACAGAACTTGAACTCACTCACATGAGCACCACATCTGAATGGATTTAGACATTGAAATGCATTAAAAAGTCATTTGTTTTATTTTATTTTATTACAAAAATTTACCATGGTCTTCTTTGAACACCATAACATAATAATGGAAAATACTTTGGAGAACCATATAAATATCATGGTATATCTGCACTATGGTATATCTAAAACACTAATGCATTAGCATATTTTTTGTGATGCTGCTTTGGAACAATATTGTAAAGAACACGCTGAAATTGAAATAGATATCATAATTGTAACATGGTATAATACCTAGATATGTTTTTTGTAAATAACTATACCATTCAAAAGTTTGGGGTCAGTAAGATTTTTATTTATTTATTTTATTTTATTTTTTTGGAAGAACTTAAACAGTAAAATACAATTAAAAGGTTACAAAATATTTATATTTGCAGTTATTTTACATTTCTATTTATCAAAGAATCTTGAAAAAAAAAAAAAATCAAATGCATCAAGAAAAATCTTGCAAAAAATCAGCATATTAGATTGATTTCTGAAGGATCATGTGACTGGCGTAAAGATGCTGAAAATTAAGTTTTGCCATCACAGAAAAATTACGTTTTAAAATATTTTAAAATAGAAAACATATTTTAAATTGTAATAATATTTCACAAAATTACATAAGGTATTTCCTCCGAAAATCTTACCTTACCGACTCTATTGAATTGACGGTGTAAATCAGAGGAGATTCCCTAAAAATTGTGCATTGTGCTTAAAATTCTGCAAATGAATATACAGGCTCTTCTATTGTCACATCTATCTATTAAACTTGCTACCACAGTAAAAGTGGTGCCAGTCTATGACATAATACAATATATTTCAGGTGCATCCAATAATGATAATGACCTCAGGGTTGAGTGAGCGCAGGGCTGAAGTAAAGGATGCATTCTGTGTCAGGAAATAGTTCACATTCTACAACAATATAGCTGTACAGAGAACAATGAGACAGGAGAAAGTTTTCCTTGAAATGGAGGCCCTCAAACCACAAAATTAGTCATATGTCATTTGTAACATAAAACAGGAAATCTGAAGTACACAAGATATGCAGACTCAACTGCCCTGTTTAACTGCAGTTAGACCACAACGGGTAGAAAGGGAATCCCTGTCATTCATGATTGTGTGACCTCAAACTTCTTCATTCAAATGAAGTTGTACACTGTTTTCCACCTTCTAGCACTCACTCACTCACTCACTCACTCACACACACACACAATAAACTAAATAACAAACACTGTAGCCTCCCGGCTAACAAAAAAATCTTTTTGCTGATGTTTCAATTAAGATATTAAAAGTTTTAATAACTTAAAGGAGAACTCTGGTCAATTTTAACATTGAGTTCAGTGTTTTAAAATTTGAAGTGCTGACAGTACAGATAAAAAAACACAAAAATCGGTGTTGCCTACACAGAGTTATCGTCTTTTTAAAATTCGTACCCTGTTGACTTCAA